GGGCGGACACGTCATCGACATACCCGCCCATTGAATTATCGCGAACTGTGCCTTTACACTGTGCGCCTAGAACGGTAGCTTACACACTGGGAGACGAGCAGAAGGATCGGCTTCGTGTAATCGATTCGCCGCACGCGGTTCGGTTTGGCGCGGACTACTCGCTTCGCCGTTATTACAGCTCGAAGGTTCTTCGTACAGCTCAATCGATATGCGATTATTATTTCGGGCATGAGTCTACTGCTAGTTCTCTTGTTCCTGCATTTCTTACCTGCTGTTGCATTCTGCTAGATTGCTCCGTGCGCGGCGTTCCTCTCACCGCGACGCGGCAATTTCGATCCTACTGCACCACGCCCCCGGTGACTTCGGCTCGCTATTTACTCCCCAATCCATCTGAGGTCGTGCTACGAAGGCCCTGCACCAACTGGCTGGGGATCCATATTTGAACGGGACTCCTCAGTTCAAGAGACCCGTTGACGAAAAAAGCCCATCCAAACCATCGATGCCATCGATTCAATATTCGACCTAAATTCCACAGCTTAATGGTATCTGTTGTGTTGGGTGCCGTTGTCGAGCCCTTGTCCGGTGGCAGAGATGTCGATTATAGATTTATTAGTAGGCACGGTGAATAATGCAACACAGTCGACTCTGGTTAGGTTGGAGGTGCAGATGAATGCGCTAGGCAAGTAGGAGACGGGAAGACCGACTAACTTAATAACTAACTAATGAGCCCGTCAGCCCAGGGTTTATATAGGCGGTTTTCTCGCTGATCACAATATCGATAAGATCACCATAATGAGTGATTTACATGATCCCCAATACAACACCTCCCCCAGTAGAAAAAAAAGAAGCAATTAACACTCAACAAATGAGCTAACGAAATGTGTCTGGGTACCTCTGTACCGGCCTTCTTATCCTTGCAGAGCGACGTGGTGGTACATTGGTTCCGTGGGCTTGTCGTCCTCGAGCAGCAGCACCTGTAGCTTGGGCGACTTCCTCTTGTCGTGTCCATACATCGTCCAATTCGAGCATCTCGAGCAGGGTCAGCAATGACTTATCTCCATTACCTGACGGTGCTTTCGCGTCACCACGACGCAGTTGGTTTGCGTGTTTCCTCGTTATCCTTCCACTCGGGTTAACTTCATAGTTGACCTTGCCAATCCTTCTGGTGATGACACCTTTTTTCCACATGAACTGCGGTGCTGTCCATACCTGAGCATAAACCGCTTCACCGACTTCAAATTCCTTTAGAACAGTATTGTTTTTTCTGTTAAACTGTTCATTCATCTTTTTCCGGTTTTCACCAGATGGTGCCGTGGGTGATTCTTCCATCGGGCGCCGTAAACTCAATCGTGTGCGAAGTTTTCTTCCTAAAAATGCTTCCGCTGGTGTCCTGTTGTTAAAGCATTCGTTTGGGGTTGTCCGGTAAGCTTGCAGGATCACGTTCAGCGTCACTTCCGATGGCTTCTCCTCCCCCTTCAGTTTCCTGATTCCGCGTTTCAGTGTATCAACGAAACGTTCGGCTTGTCCGTTTGACTGCGGGTGGCAGGGAGTGATTCCTCCGTCTCACATCATTTTGAATTGTTTCGAGGTAAATTGCGTTCCATTGTCGCTAACGATGGTTTGCGAGATTCCATATCTTGCAAAAATCTTCTTCAGTTCCTTTACCGTTTGGCCTGCAGAGATATTTGTCATTTCAATAATTTTCGGCCACTTACTGAAAGCGTCTACAACAACCATATGAAATAATTCGCAAACAGGTCCATGGACCCTTTGCCACGTATAAGCTGCTGTTGATCAAGCTTCCTAGGGGGCCTTGATGGGATACTTCGCATATTCTTGACATTTTGAGCAATTTCGCACTATTTTTTCACAATCCTTGTCGAAGTCTGGACAGTAAACGTAACTTCTAGCGAGCTTCTTCATCCGTACTCTTCCTGGATGATCAACGTGCAGTTCTTTGAGAACTTGTGCTTGTGGTTCTCTTGGAATGACAACTCGTTCCGCTATCTTGAGGCATTCATCCACGATCGAGAGCGTTTATTTCCTGTTGAAATACGACGACAGTTTAGACCCCACCTTTGGCCATTTACCGGACCTCACTTTTCACATAAAATTCCTGAGTAAGAAGTCTCTTGCGGTACTATCCCTCACATCTTCATGGGTCAGTGGTAGTCTTCTGATGCAATCTAGAGACATCATTCTCCACATAAGCCGATTTGCGGAGTATACCGGAACTCCTTTCTTGTCTCCAAAAGTAGCTAACAAGGGGTTATGATGGGTTTATGATCTGTTAAAGGTAAGAACTTATTTTGGAGGTCTCTCTGAAGCTACGACCAAGGTGAAACAAAGTTCATTCGGCTAACGTTTCGGCCAATCGCCTTCGTCAGAGCCTTAGATGTCACAAGAAGCCGTTAAACCGTTAAACGGTCTTCTTGTGACATCTAAGGCTCTGACGAAGGCGATTGGCCGACGCGTTAGCCGAATAAACTTTGTATCATCCTGGTCGTGCCTTCATAGAGACCTCCAAAGTTACATCTACACTATGCCAAGATTAAATGATAGTCGAACATGGTTGCTAAGAACTTTCTTCCAAATAAGTACTTGTGAAACTTCTTGACGGCAAAAACAAGTCCAAGAGCCTCCTTCTCAATCTGCGAGTACTTCTTCTCAGCAGCTGACAATAACCTTGAAGCACGTGCAATAGGTTTCTCTAAACCGTCTTCGTATCTATGCGAAATGATATATCTTCGTCCAATACCATAATCACAAGCGTCAGCTGCCACAAGAATCTTCTGCTGGTGGTCGTAGTGAGCAAGGTTGGCGTCGCCTGACAATGCCTCCTTCAATTTTTCAAATGGTATGTTCTTTGAAGCTCCATCTCCACTTCACGTCCTTTTTGAGAAACGCATCTAACGGTCCACGGAGATTCCTCATAGGTGTCACAAATATAGGGTAGTACGTAATTATTCCCAGAAAAGATCTTAGTTGCGCAATATTCTTCGGTTCGTCCATGTTCTCGGTAGCTATAGCTTCGATCTTCTCTGGATTGGGTCTTCTCCCATTCTTGTCAATAATGAAACCGAGATAACCTACATATTTCTGGAGAATGTACACTTGTCCAGGAGTACCTTGAATCCATAGTCGGCTATTTTTCCAAATAGTGCGAGCAGATTCTCCCTATGCTCTTGTTCGTTTCTGCCACTCACCAAGATATCGTCCAGATAGGTAGCTACACCTTGCGATCTAGTTACCATTTTGTTCATCACCTAATGAAAAATTCCCGGTGCAGTCTTGATTCTGAAAGGCAGTCGATTGTACCTAAACAGTCCCTTGTACGTATTTATGACGACTTTCTTCTTCGTCTGAAAGCTCCAACTAAAAGTACGCGCTCGTCCCTTCATTTAGAGATGCGAAGATATCCTCTGGTAAGGGATAATCGAAAGACTGCAAGGCTCTGTTCAGCCCAGTTGAGAAATCAGCACATATTCTCAACTTTCCACTCTGCTTCCTGACACAGACAATTGGTGCGGCCTACTCACTATGGCTAGCTGGTGCAATAGCATCCATATGCATAAGCCTATCTACGGAACACTGGGCGCACGTTCTGGTGTAGCTGCAAGTCAACTTCTTATTGCAGCGTCCTAACCCTTCTTTGAAGACTTCCGAATGAGTCTTTCTCAGTTCCTCTTCTATTCCGGGAGCGGATGCCACATTTACTTCCGCTGTCATCATCTCCAAGTGATACCTCATCTCTTCGCTCGCTCGTATCCATTCGAAGCCAATGAGCGAGTTATACGGCGCCACATAGGCGCCTTCTTGAGGGGCGCAGTTTCGACGCCCTTCATTTTTATCTCCTTCAGCTTCCCGTAAATCTTCATCTGTACTCCACTGGCATTCTTCACGACGATATTTGTCCTTTCCAGTGCTAGGGCTCCCATCTTCTTCCATGTTTCCTCATTGAGCAATGTGATGCCGGATCCTGTATCCAACAGAAATCGGACTTCGTAGTTGTTCACTACTGCATCAATGTATACGTACTCGAGGGCAATTTGCTTCAAGTGCTGCGTTCGAAATCTGTGCTGCATTCAGAATCTGGACTGTTCGCACTTGTCTCCTTGGAGCTCTCCTTCGCCCTTTGCCCTCGCAATTACTGCTTCTCATTCTCTTCGTCGTTTCTCCTTGAGCGCCTGGCTTCTTCTGTTGTAGTATGTCACAAAACTTCTCCTTGTGACCAGTTTTCCTGCACTTCTTGCAGAACCAGGGCTTGGATTTGCACTGCCTTGCATAGTGCTTGCCTCCGCAATTCTGGCACTCGATATCTTCTCGATTTTCTACGGTCGTTGCTCAAACAGTCTTCGTACAACCTGCAACAATCCCGCTGTCTCTTCTGAGACTCAAGGAATTTTCGCATTTTTGGTGCAACTCGTGCAGAGATACGCTTCTTCCAGGGAGTGGTGCGATTCACGCGTCAATATGATGAGGTCATCGGACAAATTGCGCTAAAACATCATGCCTACCATCATACCGGAAGAAATAAGAACTTATAAGTAGAGTAAGTAAAGAAATGACCAACTATGCACGTTTACAGAAGAATTGCATTTTCTAGGGTCAAAAAATTTGAAGTTATTCTTGCTTTGAACGTTTGGCAAGTAAATTGTGGGCCTATGTAGTGAATTTTCAATCTCGAAGGGGCTTCATTGCCATAGTAAAGAGATTTGCTCTAATTCATGGTAAAGTCGTGGACTGCTACAAATTTATTTGGTCCATCACAACAGAAAGGTACTGAAACGATGCTGCGTGCGCGAAGAGCTCTAATGGGTCGCGCGTGAATCGCGCCCCCCCCCCACCTTCTTCTAGCCTTGTGCTCTTTATCAAGTATTGCGATCGGCCTCTGCCTGATTTCTGCTTCTTGCTGTGATTTTAGGCCGAAAATCCACAAAAGACATTTGATCTTATCTGAGTTTAATTCGTGAATCTTCGCTTTTTCACAGAATTCATTCACGCGACCAGTATACGCGAGATAATCTTCAGCGTCGTTCTTCTCTCACTTGAGGCACTGATATCTTGTGGTGAACAGCGAGGTTATGATCGAAAAGCTGCTTCAGTGCTTCTCATTGAATCCAATTTGGAAAACATTCCTGGGTAGAACATGGTATTTGTCAAATATCACTGAATCCAGTCTCTCACATAATAGCCTCACTCTGTTGGTCTCTGTGAGCTGTTTCGCGTCTTCGGAAATCACTTCCTTGTATCTTGAGAACCATTTTGAGAAGCTCATGTCAGCATCAGGGTCAAAAATCAATTTCTTGATTCGGTTGCTCAAGGCTGCCATCATGGTCGGGAGTGTCACTTGCTCTTCCGGCTTAGCGGCTCCCTGGTCATGCTCTGGGCCGCGATCGATAATTTTCGCGATGATGTCCCTTTGTTCCTTCATCATTGTCGACGCGAGGTTCCTTTGCTCTTCAATCGATTGCTTGAACATCGACAGGACTGTGGCTGGATCCATTGCCCCACCAATAGGTCAACAAACAGGGAAGAGCAGAAAATCAATAAAGAAAAGTCAAACAGACAAAGGGTTTCTTCTCCGTGCAAGTGGGGCTTGTCCCACTCAAATGCGGCCAAAATGGAACCAAAAACGAACAAAGCTTTTCTGCAAGTACTCTACAGGTCCGCTTGTTAAAGTCGGGTATAAGGACGGTGTTCAAGCCGAATCCCTAGTAGTACGTATCGATTGCAGAGTCCTTTGAAAATTCTGATCGCCACTGTTGTGTTAGGTGCCGTTGTCGAGCCCTTGTCCGGTGGCAGAGATGTCGATTATGGATTTATTAGTAGGCACGGTGAATAATGCAACACAGTCGATTCTGGGGAGATTGGAGGTGCAGATGAAAGGCTAAGCCTAGGCAGGTAGGAGACTGGAAGACCGAATAACCTAATAACTAACTAAAGTGCCCACCATCCCAGGGTTTATATAGGCGCTTTTCCCGCCGATCACAATATCGATAAGATCACCATAATGGGTGATTACATGATCACCAATACAACACATCTCTTCAAGAACTTTCTAGAGTGCGGAGAAAATGGTTAGGAACAGTTAAAGGAAGGGTGGCCAGGTTTTTATAATGGGAGGGTTCTGTACTCAGGTGGACGGAGCTATGATCAACTACTAATAATTCTATCTTATTCTGATAATCCAACATTACGCTGAATGACTTCAATGTAGAAAGCGGTCGTCGACATATAATGCACGTGTTATCGTGCGTAACCCAACTGATGAGATGATGAGAGTATATAACTGAGGAAGGAGATTAAGGTCGAGAGCATGTAACGGAAAGTGAAACTGGCGAGGCGGCTGGCTTGTGACGGCTCTTTAGTTGGGATGGTTGTCGCTGCGCAGTCTTCAGCCATCTGCAAAGAGGTCTTTGTTCGATCTTTTCACCATGTACGCTCTGGAGGCTTAAATAATTCACTTTTGTATAATATGAGTCATAGAATAATTGACTAATTCAACGAGAAAATTATGTAATCGCGTGTTACCCGCGATACAGCAGTAGAGAGAATTAAATTGATGTAGACAGTAATTTCATGAGATGATCGTTTCTCAAAATGTCAATGGATATAAAAAACACCGCCATGCGAATACCTGACTCTGCAGCACAGACCGTTGCCAGCAGACATCGAGCGCTCCAAAAAAACTGAGGACAAGAATAGAGGAGAATCCGATGGTAAAGTTGCCCAAGCAAGAAAAAGAGCTCGAACGGGAGCTACTGGAATATGGTTTCCTAGGTCTTAGAAGTACGGGTCCACCAGTCCTGGAGCGAAGAAGAAAATCATCCTACAGTGTGCAAGGGAAACGCTGGGAGAGGCTCAAGTTAGATTCGGGAAGAAAAGGAAACGTGGTTCTTGGACGATGAAGTCCAGCTAGTTTTCAGGCAGAAAAAAGCCGTTCGCAAGAGCTTGTAAAAGACGTCAGCTCCAAATGACCTAACTGCCTACAGGAAATACAGGAAGCTCGTGAAGTCTGCTGCAGCGAAGGTAAAAGCGGCCATGCACGCCTCCCCGAAGCTCCATGGTCGAGAAGGGGAGAACTTCCTCTTCCGGCTGGCCGAAGCGCGGCACCGGGCTCCTCAAGACATCGGAGTAGTGAGGGCTGTAAAGGACAGCGTTAGTACAGTCCTGAGGAAGTCAAGTGAGGTCAGGCGCAGGTGGAAAGAATGCTTCGATGCTTCGACGCGATGGAAGAGTGCTACAGCTATGAGGAAGAGGCGGCGGCGGACACTATTGCACTCTGGGCAGACGATGAAGACCGTTGAGCAGTGAGAAGGTAACTTGACCGGATGGAGTACCAATAAAGGCAACGAAGATGCTTAGAAAGCTCGAGATTATGTGGCTCACCCGATCCCAATACTGTAGCAGCTTAAGAAAGAATCCTAGATGCCTGGAAGAACAGAATTATAATTCTCATCTTCGAGCATTAGTATGACGCAATAGAGTCTTCCAACTGTCGCGTTGACTGTGCACACGATGAAATTCTGCGAGCGACTCCTGGTCGGCTTGATGGAACTGTTCCCGATCTGATATAAGCAGATCTGCTTTATGCTGCCAGCGGATGCCATCATCAAGCTAGACGTAGTAATGAGCTATCGAGAGAGCATAGACCCTGCTACATTTTGGACATTTTGGAGCTGAGTATTTTACCTCTATTCTTATTTCAGTAGTTTGACAAGTAAATTGTGGAACTACGAAAAACCTCGTAGGGGCTTTATTGCCATGATGTGTAGATTTACACTTTTCATTGGTTTATCGATGGACTAGTGCAAAGCTCGTTTGATCCATCTCAACTGAAGGCGGCTGTGGCGACTCATCAAAATCGGCCGCGCAGTGCGTCGCGCGCTAATCGCTCTTTCCCCTTCCCCGATTCCCCCCACCACATATGATATCACATTTTATAAGAAGATGAATGATTTCGGATCCAAGGGTCTCTCACGCTTTTCCAATGGTCTCTCACGCTTCTCCCCAGTTTCCGTGGGTGATACTCGATCGTGATGAAACAATTGAAATCCAACTAGAATTTCTAATCAAACCTAATCAGCTGTTACCACTTCCTGAATTCAACAACGCTCCTCGTGGCATAATCTCAAACTGAGCCTCTCCATGTATGATTTTTCTCACCATTCAAAACCGTGAATAAGCGTATTATCTCTTTCGTAATTGCACATGATCTGCCTTTCCACATTAGCAACCGCGACTCTAGATTCGCCTTATCTCATTAGCCTACTTCTTATTTAGTGCACCTAACGTTGAGAAATTCGTTTTTATTCATGTTTACAGCAGGGTACCTGGATAGGGACCTCGAAGAATTGTAAGTTTTTGTACAATATTGTTTCCCATCTCAACTAGACGGGAACTGTAATAGTTACGGGTATGGTGGACTTTTTTTCATACGTTGCTCTGATAACGAGAAGCTTTTCTGTTTCGAACCCTATGTGTTGGATTGTCAAACCTGTTCATAAAATGCTCACATGTTGTTCTGAAAGGTTTTCTCATAAAAACTTCGGCTGAAATGTACCGCTTACTCCCACCCATAGTTAGGGCATTGCTTTTCCAAAACTCCTCTTTATCTGATGAGTCATTTGACCCCTTCTCTTCAATGTGCATGGAGTTGCCGAATTTCGTAACCACATATTGAGTGGCCGCAGTAGAAGGATGTGTGTGCACTCCTATTCGGTCTGTGCAGGCAATGAAAAAATTCACTTGTTTAAGCACTTCTGGGGTCCCCCAAACATGGAGGGTTTTAGGTAGTCTACATTGATGCGTACAAGGATTTTGCAAGCGTTTGGGACACTTTCCATAAAAAAGCAAAACAAGCGCGTACATAAAGGGTTCGAACCTCCGTGTCACGCCTACCACTCTACCGTCCTCCCAATTGCGCTATCGTTGCACGTTTCGCTTATGCTCGGTTCGCTTATATTGGGTTGTTCGGAAAGTCTTCGCCGATTTTCGACACCCAGGTTTATCAATTGTTGTACAAAAGGTCAAGAAGCTAACCTCATAAAATTATATATTTTCTGAGAGGGTAAACCCTTCCCTATATCCCGGTTCAAGTTCTGTCAACATACCTCAAAGTCTGCCCGTATACAACTCGTAAGAATTTTGAAGATCATCGCGTGCATTTGCGACGCGTTAACCTTTTCTTCTACCGCAAGGGCAAGAATGCGGCTCAAGTCGCGAAAAAAATTCTTTCTGTTGAATAGACATGCTCTAGGGACGTACAGTGCGCGAGTGTTTTGTGGATTTTGAACAGGGTCAATTCGTCCTCGAATGTCGGCAACGCTCAGGAAGGCTATCACCAGTTGAAAACGACCAAATCAAAATACTAATCGGAAAGAATCGGCAAGTCGCTATACGTGGAATAGCAGGAAGTCTGATTGTCTCGAAATCAACCATCCGTGATCATTTGCTGGAACTTGGTTTTGTTAATCGCCTTGATGTTTGGGTACCTCACGAACTGAGCGATGGCAATGTGATGGACCACGCCACCATGTGCGACTCGTTGCCAAAACGAAACAAAAATTAGCTATTTCTGAAAGGTATGAAAACAGGGGTTAAAAAGTGGGTCGCGTACAACAAAGTGGAGCGGAAACTATCGTGGAGCCTTCCCAGCGAGCCGTCTCAAACTACTTCAAAAATCAAAATACAGGTGAGGAAGATTATGCTGTGTTGCTGGTGGGATTGGAGGGGAATCATCATGAGCTGTTGTCGCATAATCAAACGATAACTTTGGAACGGTACTGTACTCAGCTAGACAACTCCTATAACATATATATGTATATATAACAATATAACCTTTTTATATAACAATTTTTATATTTATATCGATAGACCAGAAGCGCCATAGGTGGCCAATCGTAGGGGCGTCGTCTTCCAACAGGATTACCCCAGACCACACGTATTTTTGGTCACTCGTCAAAAATTGCTGGAGCTTGGGTGGGATGTCTCACCACACCCACCATTTTGTCTAGACATTGCGCATCAGACTACCCTTTCTTTAAGTTTTTGCAAAACCTTTTGAATGGAAAATCGTTCAATGTACTAGAAGATTGCAAAAAGCACCTGAGAGGATTCTTCGATTTCGAGTCCAGAACCCTCTACAAAAAGGGATAAAGAAAATGATAGAAAAGTGGCGAACCGTTACTTTTCTATTAGCTTTAGCGTTACTGATCATAGTGGACAATGTTTAATGAATGGATTTGATCTTCTCAAAGATGTCTTAAAAATCGTCGGAGACTTTCCGGACAACACAATACAAGCAAGTCAAAGGCATGACACCGGAGAAAATAGACCCGTGACTTGGTTCCCAGAGTCGTTTCGCAGGCTTGGAACCCGTATTTGAGATGAGCGTTTTGAAGCACTTACATCGGTATACAGCTCATTTGAATTGCCACTGCGACCTAGTATCCTTCTCTTGTGAGTAGCAATGATCCGCCGCCGTACAAACAGAGGTGAACT